ACAAGAAGTTCCCACAACAATGGGGATGGTGTCATAAGAGGATACGTCTGTTTTGATCCTTTTCCCCTCCCCATTGTGAATCCCAGTCCATAGCCATGACACCTACAATGCCATGGCGAAAAGCATCTTTTCAATTCCATAGAAAAGATATGGAATCTATTGCTCACCCACAACCACCACATCCATTTTACCAGACAGAGAAACACACACACACACAAACCTGTGGGACTTTATAGGGGCCTCCTAAGGTTGACATCTGGATGGAGATGTCCCTGGCTGCTCCATCATGAAGAGCTAAAAGGTTGTCCTTCCTCCCACAGCTGTAATTGGGAACATTGGCTTCTCCAGTTGAGAGCATATCCAGTAAGGCATCTGAAGTGGCAATAGCATTCATATTTTTGTCATGGATGTTGTAGCCCAGAGTGAGATTGAGCAGAAACTGGAGGTTGTTGTTGACCACTTGAATGGCAAAAATGAAGCCAAGGATTCTAGACTTATCAGTAGATGAACTACTGTAAAACATATTCAGGTCATCATCCTTATCATCATCCTCATCATCACTACCACCACCAAATATTTTTATATATTACCCTTTATCTTCAGAAGCCTATTGAGTCTTAGTCCAATTTTGATCCAAAATGAGAGACTAACTATAGTCACTCATCACTATTTAATTTTTATGAATGTTGAGAAGATGGGATGGGGATAATCTTTCAACAAAGTTAATAGTTAGAAATATAAATTATATTTACAAATACAAATTATTTGCAGTAGATTTTCATTGGTCCAATAACTAGTGTTCAAAATCCAGAAATCATTAAAGTAGAACCACCAGAAAAGGAAGGAGATATTTCATGTGTGACCCAGAAAAGCAACTCTAAAACAAATCAGTCTATTTTTATAAGCATTTGGCTATGAATATCAATGAACAGTCATAAACATACAGAAATATGCTGGGCAGAGGTGACTATAACTCTTTTAATAATTCAGTTTTGAAGTGCTGAAATCAAGATTGGATGTGAAGGGGAAAATAATCTGGATTCTTTCAGGTTATTTTTCTTTCGCCTGATCTTTAGATTTGGGACGCTTCCTTAAAATAAAAGAGAGGAACCATGGAAATCAACCAGTTCAAGAAATTAAACATGTTCTGCAGTCTAGGTGTTAAGTGAAATAAGAAGAAAAATAGAAGATTGTTAGAAATGCAAATGGAAGGAATGCAATCCCATCATACTGAATGACTTACGAGTGAGACTGACTAGAAGGGGCCCTGTTGAAAGGCAACTTTGTACGTGACAGTTGTGTTGCAGTGGTGACCACGCTAATGATATGGTCCCCTGGCTTGTAATAGCTCCATGATTTTTTTCCATCCTGGTGCTCCAAATTTAGCTGACACTTCAATTTATGTTTCCCAGAGACTGGCTGGGACACTAGCAGCATCAGAAGCAGAAGGACGAGGTCCATAATTCATATAACTGATTTCAACCTCCTTCCCATTTCTACAGAAGAACAGCAAGAAGAGTTAGAAGAATTCAAATTACTTTCACAAGATGGAAATACCATTGCTTTTCCTGATTCAGACAGAGACAAACTGAGCTTCATCTGGAAAAGGACAGAAAGGTACATTCATGGGCAAAGCCCCTACATGTCCTAAAGCTTGTATCACACAGAGTGTCACCTGAGGCATCTATCCTTTTCTAATAGAAAATCCCTTCCATGTTTTCTTCAGTCTGATGTTTACTGCAAAGACGGTCACTGGAGAAGTGGCAGAAACGGTCTCAAAGAAAGACCAGGATGGTGATAATTACAAAGAGAAGCAACGTCTCCTCTGGGGATTCTAAAGTTCTTTTGTCTACTTCCATGTGCAGGGCGGTAGCTGGAGAAAGCATGCTGGTGAAAAATCACAGATACTCCTCTGGAGGCACTGTCCCAAACGGGCTTCTTCAAGAGGCAACTGGACTTTCTTGTTTTTCTTTGAAGATGTTTCGCTTCTCATCCAAGAAGCTTCTTCAGCTCTGACTGGATGGTGAGGAATGGAAGGATTTATACTCCTTACAGACAGCTGGTCATTTGCCTTCTTTTAGAGAGTCGTTGAGGCCACCTGGAGGTTTATCTGTATCCTTAGGTGATCTTGAGGACAATGTTCTAGCAACATAATTCTTTTTCATGACACCTAATTAAGTCTCAGGAAAGTTACAGGGAGTCCTCGACGTACAACCACAACTGAGCCCAAAATTTATGTTGCCAAGTGAAACATTTTGTAAATTGAGTTTTGCCCCATTTTGACAACTTTTCTTGCCACTGTTGTTAAGTGAATCATTGCAATTGTTAGTAACATGGTTGTTAAGTGAATCTGACTCCCCCATTGTCTTTGCTTGTCAGGAGGTCATAAAAGGGGATCACATGACACTGCAACATCATAAATATGAACCAATTGCCAAGCATTTGAATTTTGATCATGTGGCCATGGGGATGGTGCAATGAACGGTGAAAAATGATCATTAGTCACCTTTTTCAGTGCCATTGTAACACTGAACGGTCACTAAATGAATTGTTGTAAGTTGAGGACTATCTGTAACAGCCTGTGGACTGCATGAATGTGTAAATTGGAAGAAAGTTATACTGTAGATTGGATAGAAGTTTTTATTTTTTTTCTTGACCACTCTCTACATTATCATGTAAGATGCCAAGATCCGTTATATTTTGAAGTTTCTTATTTTATTAAATAAACAGTGGCCTGACTGGTCTGCAGCTGAGATGATGGTGGTGCCCACAGAGTGGTGAATAGTGAGACCTGATTTCTTGCACATCCACCTAGAAGCAGTTTACTTGGTGGCCCTTGTGGTTGTGTGTATATACTTTTTGGGACAGTGTCCCCTTTAGCTTTTCCATATTTGACGCTCTGTGTGAAAACCACCCCAAAGAATGACAATTGCTTTTGGGAGTCCCTGTGTTCCTCATATATCTGGGTCAATTTTGGTGGGGGGATTACATTTCCTGTCTGGAGGGGGGAACTTAATCCAATTTTGATCCAAAATGAGAGACTAATTATAGTCACCCATCACTATTTAATTTTTATGAATGTTGAGAAGATGGGATAGAGTTAATAGTTAATAGTTACAAATATAGCACTATTCATAGTAGAACTTATGAACTTTCATTGTCCAATAAGTAGTATTCAAAATCAGGGAATCATTAAAGTAGAACCACCATAAAAGGAAGGAGATATCATGTTACCCAGAAAAGCAAATTTAAAAACAAATCAGTCTATTTTTATAAGCATTTGGCTATGCTATAAATTGACACAAGAGGTATCTTGCATAGAACATCTGAATATATAGAGAAGCTTTATTCCAAATATATTTCAGATATCTCTTTGATTACTTTCCATCCATTGCTTCTTGTTCTGTCTTCAAGTGCTTTGGAAAACTGTCTTCAAAATTGTACTTAAATAATTTCAATGTCCTTTCTAAAACTGAGGATTTATGAAAAACTGAATAACAAAGCTGGAAGTGACCCTAGAGGTCTTCTAGTCCAATCCCCTGCTCAGGCAGGAAACCCTGTATCATTTCAAACAAGTGATTGTCCAATCTCTTCTTAAAAACTTCTATTGTTGGAGCAAGTCGGAGGCAAGTTGTTCCACTGGTTAATTGTTCTAACTGTCAGAAAATTTCTTCCTAGTTCTAGGTTGCTTCTTTCCTTGACCAGTTTCTATCCATTATGTCTTGTCCTGCCTTCAGGTGCTTTGGAAAAGAGCTTGACTCCCTCTTCTTTGTGGCAGCCCCTGAGATATTGAAACACTGCTATCATATCACCCCTAGTCCTTCTTTTCATTAAACTAGACATACCCAATTTCAGCAACCGTTCCTTATATGTTTTAGCCTTCAGTCCCCTAATCATCTTTGTTGCTCTTCTCTGCATTCTTTCTAGAGTCTCAACAACTTTTTTATATTGTGGCACCCAAAACTGGATCAACAAGTCCTTCTATTAAACACATTGGTTAAGTCATCAGTACAGCAATGGAATTAAGGCTGCCCCACTCACAGCTGACTCCAAATCTTAAAGCATCCTTGTAGTGAATTGTTGTTGTGTTTTTGCCTTTGGGAAAAATGTTTGGGAACATACCCATGCCAGGTCAATATTTTATAAGCTGCAATTGACAAGTTCCACATAGCAGGTGGAACCAACCATTTTTAGGTCATTTGAATGTCTGCAGCTATGTGTAAATTGGCATGGAGAAGGAACTTTCCACTTTTCCCCTTTTCCTTAGGTATTTTTCTTTAAGGAAGAAGGCATTTTCCAAACTATGTTTGGATAGTGAAGCCTCAAATAAGACCTCCTGCTATTTTCTATCTAAGATTATTTTTCCATTCACATGATACAATACTGAAAACTTCCCAGTCGAGACAAGAGGATCATGTGGCTTGTCTGGATAAGAGACCAATCTAGTCTCAGGCCTTTTCTTCTTCTTTTTCCTGGATTGAGTCTTCACAGAGGTTGTTGAGGACATTCATACTGGGTCATGTCCTGAAAGAGTGTTGGGAGAGTGATGACTCAACCCCAAAGGTATGAAACTCTGAGATCCCAGAAGATTTTTGATGTCACCTAACATTTGCAGAAATAATTGTAGTAGGGTCATGCAGAATGTTGCAACTAAGGGTTATCTGCATGTTCTTGACAACCCACTCTAATGCCCTCACCTATTTTCGAGGACAAGTCAGAGAGAGAAAGAGACCATGTTAAGAAGTTCCATATACAGTATATCTAATTTTTGGCAATGGAAACCTTCCCCCTCTCTCTTTTGGGAGTCTTGTCTCCTTGTCAACTGTCTTAAATTAATATATCCTGACTGTCTCATTTCTTATCTTGTCCTTCTCTGGCTGCATGACAGTTTAGTTATTATTATTTTACTCTTAGGTGATTATCTTGCATTTTAATTTCATTATTCTCACACTGAATTCCATCATTCTTCATACACATGAGCCTAAGAAACCTCTTCAGTATCAGTTCCCTACTTTTATCATTAGATGTTCCTTAGTGTTTAGATCTGGTCTGAAGATGATAATGTAGCACTTGGGGAAGAAGATGCAGCCCAGAAGCCCAGCACTGGAGGCCAAGATGGAGAAGATCTGCACAACCACCATGGACTTTCCTTTGGTGCTCAGGTAACTGGGTAGGAAGGAGACCCAGACACTGCAGAAGACCAGCATGCTGAAGGTGATCAGCTTGGCTTCATTGAAGGCTCCAGGGAGGTTCCTAGCCAGGAAAGCTACAGTGAAGCAAATGGCAGCTAGAAAACACATATAGCCCAGAACAACATAAAACATGGTAACAGAGCCTTCATTGCATTGAAGGATGATTTCTCCAGGCTGGGAATGTAGGTCAGAGTCAGGGAATGGGGGAGAAATTCCCAGCCATAAGACACAGATGAAAATTTGGCCAGCAGAACCAGAAAAGATGATGGAGTTGGCCAAACTCTTTCCTAACCATGTTCTCACCCTGTTCCCTGGTTTTGTAGCAAGGAATGCCAGTACCACTGTGATTGTTTTGGCCAACACAGAAGACACAGCTACTGAGAAGACAATGCTGAACACTGTTTGTCGGAGAAGGCAGGTGGCTTTTCTGGGTTGGCCAATGAATAAAAAAGAGGACAAGAAGCAAAGGAAGAGGGAGACCAGAAGGATGTAGGAGAGCTCTCGATTGTTGGCTTTGACAATAGGAGTTTGTAGGTATTTAAGGAATATGATTAAAACAAATCCAGTGGTTAGGAACATGAGCAGGGCAAAAGAGACCAGAATGATGCCCAGATGCTCTTCATAGGACAGGAAGGTTATTCTTTTGGGGATACATTGGACTCGGTCCTCAGTTGGATATTGATCATCTGGACACTTGGTGCATTTTTGTGTATCTGAGAAAACAAAGTAAAGGAGTTCACTATTGCCTCTTTCAGGACAGATGGTGATACTATCCATTCCTGAAAAAGACGTTAGCTACTTCAAGTTGAGATTAACTCCAACATTTGAGGTTTTCTGAAAATCCCTTAAAATGTGATTCATTCAACAGAGCTGTAATAACAGGTTTCTATGCGCTGGTTGCATCATGCATAACATCTCAATTTATTCCACTCTTGCAATCTTAGTTTTTTAGGTTTCATTGATTTAATCTGGGTTTGTAAAATATTTTATTGTTGGTTTTATAGTATGCCACCCAGAATAAATGGTGAACCCAGAACCATTGAATTGGGCTATAAGCAGTACTTTTTTTGTAAAAAGAAAAGGTGCCGGAACTCAGACATGTCATACAACCCGCCTTGCCTACCCTACAAGGTTCTATCCCAAAAAGATGCCAGAACTCCGTTCTGGGCATTCTATGACAAAAAAAGCCCTGGCTATAAGCAATATTTGTGCTTTACTTCTTAATCCATAAAATGGACAGTTAGTGTATTGGAGAGGAAAGAGGCAGATTTTATCCCCGCTAATAGAAAATTTAGTTTATATCCCTCCTCTCACACTGAAATCATCTTAATGGATTTTATGATGGGTCCTCCTGATTTTCTTTTGTCCCTTGAACCCAACTGCTTACCTCCATGGTCCTTTTGATTAGACATTTCTTTTAATAAAGGTAAATGATCGTAATAAAGATTGGCTGATTATTCACTGATTGAGTGAGGTATTTTATTAGTTATTTATTTATTTATTTATTTATTTTATTTATTTTTAAAATTTATAAGCTGCCCCACTCCTGAAGGACTCTGGGTGGCTAACAATAAAAAACACATAAAATATAACAAAATGAAACAGTACAAGAACAGTCATCCAGGGGTCAGATTTTATAATCCCAGGCCTGCCGGAAAAGCCAGGTCTTGAGCAGCTTACGGAAAACCAACAGGGTGGGAGCGGTCCTAATCTCTGAGGGGAGCTGGTTCCAAGATGTGGGCGCCATCACAGAGAAAGCCCTCCCCCGCGGCCCCGCCAAATGGCACTGCATGGCCGACGGGACCTGAAGGAGGCCCAGCCTGCGGGATCTAACCGGACATAGGGAACTGTGAGGTAGTAGGTGGTCTTGCAAATAGCCTGGCCCTGGCCCTTAAATTAATATGCTGCCTATCCTATGTTTGAGGGGACACTGAATGGCTTGTATCCTTTGGCCTGTAATGTAAAATTGGTTTGGGTGAGAACAAGCCATTGATCTGAAACCATTCCTCAACTTTCAAAGAATTTAGTAGTTGTTTCTAACAAAGATAAACATGGAAAGACAGTTCCAATCTGACTAGTAGAAGAGACATTGCCTTTGGCTATAAGAAATCCACCATGTCCTTCCTGCCTCATCTTCAAAAACCTTTTCTTATTCCTCCCATTCTGGAATAAATTGTTGAATATAAAGAACAACAATAACAAAACATTCAAGCTTAGATATGTCTTTAACATGCACCTTGATTAAAATCCTCTGAATGAATCCAGTATCTTTGTCCGAAAGGGTGTAGGGTTTCCTGCCTGAGCAGGGTGTTGGACTAGATGACCTCCAAGGTCCCTTCCAACTTTACTACTATTACTATTACTATCTCTTCCTCCAGAGTCATATACCTTCTTGAGTGGAGATGGTCCCCTCTGGACAAGGAATGCAGTCATAACAGCAAACTGGCTCTCCTTCTCGTGCCCACTTGACAAATCCAGGATGACAATTTTCTACACATATGGACTGAGGAAGAGTCTAAGCAGAAAAATAGTGAACATCAGAAAAAAAAATGTTAGGACTCACCATTCCATGGGAAACAGAATTCAACAAGAACATTTATCAAGTAGACTATGCGCTTCATTTAGATATGAAATTTCTGATTAGTTTCAGATTGTTGTAGGAAATGCAACCACTGGTAGGTTCTTTCCTCCTTTTTGCTCCTGGCAGATCACATTGCAAGAAAAAGATTTTTGTACTTAATAAAGTCTGGAGGAATAGAATTGAGAAAAGATCGGTATTAGTACTGCTTTATAAAACCCTAGTAAGACCACACCTGGAATACTGCAGTCAATTTTGGTCACCATATCACAAAAAAGATGTTGAGAGTTTGGAAAAAAAATCAGAGAAGAGCAACTAAGATGATTAAAGGACTGGGGATTGAAACATATGAAGAATGGTTGCAGGACTTGGTTTTGGCTAGTCTAAAGAAAAGAAGAAATAGGGGAGACATGATAGCAGTATTCCGGTATTTGAGGGGCTGCCACAAAGAAGAGGGGGGTCATGTTATTCACCCAACCACCAGAGGGGAAGACAAGAAACAATGGTGGGAAACTGACCAAAGAGAGAAGCAACCTGCAATTAAGGAAAAACTTCCTGACAGCGAGGACAATTAACCAGTGGAACAGCTTGCCTCCAGAAATCGTGGGTGCTCCATCACTGGAGATTTTTAAGAAGAGACTAGATAACCACTTGTCTGAGATGGTATAGGTTCTCCTGCTTGATAGGGGGCTGGACTAGAAGACTTCCAAGGTCCTATTCTGTTCTGTTTCTGTTTCTATTTGACAAACAGTGGGTTCCATCCTGAGAAGGAACACACCATTCCTCCAATCTTTATATATCTCTGATTTAAAAGTATGATGGGTCAATGTCATGTTTTAGTATTTCAGTTTTCTAGCTGAGAACATTATCTTCTATCAGACCAGTCATTATGATTTCAGGTGAGTTGAAAGTATTGGAGCTCGTTCTCAAGAGCAGAAGGCCTACTGTACTATCCCAGTGGGTTAGTCTCAAATTTCTACTCCCCACATTAAATTCTCATGGAAAAGAATATGAAATGTATCCTGAGGCTATGAAAAAAAAATTAGAATAATATCAATATTTCACCCATCTTCTGGAGCAAGTATAGCAGGAAAAGATTATATTGGTTGATAATAATGCCCATCTAAAAAAATTATAAAAGTTTACACATTCTACACATTCAGTTCTCAGCAACGTTCACCCACCTTTGCGACCAGAAATGAATCATAAGGATTTTGAAAATAGAAAAGGGGCTAATATTTTACTCACCTTGTTGAGCCACTTTAGCAGGGAAAGAGTATCTTGGCTGATAATAAGTCTCTGTCTTTCAAAACTTCCCATTTGCTCTTCAATGTAATTCTCTTCAGGGAAAACAAACAAGCTCATAATATGCAGATCTGCTATCAGATCTCCGTTTTGGTCCACATACATTTTCATCTCAGAAAAATTGCAAAATTCATTCTTCTTCAGAAAGGGATGAAGCTAGAATGGAAACAACCAGAAAGTTTAAAATTGAAAACTTTTGGTTTCTTACAGCACTTGGTCTTTACATATTTTATTTAGATAAGTTATCTAGAATGTATAAAGGTATCTCAAATGAATGTTGGAAATGTAGAGGACTTTTTATCATTTATGGTGGACATGTGATAAAGCAAAGAAATATTGGCATAGGATTCATATTTTAATGCAGAAAATTCTTAAAGTGAATATAAAGATTAAACCAGAAACCTTCTTTCTGGGTCTAATGGAAAAAAGACTTGGAAAAAATTTGGAACTTTGACTTTATATATGGTGACTGTAGCAAGACTGCTCTTTGCACAAAAATGGAAGGATGTTTTGATTTCCACCGTGGATGAATGGCTACACAAGCTGATGAAATTAGCAGATATGGCTAAATTGATTGTTTTGATAAAAGAAAAGAATATAAGTCCTTCTGGATTTTGTGCTTGAGGTGGAAAAAAATGATACTATGATTTTGGGTTTTACTGATTACATTGATTGTTGATACAGAAATGGCTAGACCATACTACTACAAAAATATAAAAGGCTGAGATTCGATGTTAATGCCTTATTCTACTGTAACAGAAAGAGTCAGAAGTCAACACTTTTTCTTTACTTTCTCCCTTTTCCACACTTCTCTTTTTCCCCTTCCCCCACCATTGTTCCTTACTATTTGCTTTTGTATTTTCGTATTTTATAAGTGAATAAAACTATTTAACATGTAAAAACACTTTATCTTTATATATTTGAACATTTGAATTCTTCTAATACAGTTGTCCAACTTGCAGATATTCTTAGCTGGGAGAACAACATTTACCATTGTCTTCAAAAATGAAAAAGAAAAGTGTGAAATTTCTCGATCATATATAAATAAAATTGATATTGAGACAATTAATGAATTATAGGGAACATTCTAGAGCAGAACTAAAAAAGAAATCAAGAGATTATTCATAAACAACAGGGAGATTATCCAAAAAATGGGATTCCTGCAGAGAGGAAGGGATCAGGTCTCCTTGAAATTTATGGGCATAAAATTGTATGGTGTTAAAAACAAATCCATACATACATGAATTTATTTAAAAATACATCCCCTTAAAAATCAGCAGTGTTTAATATTAAAATATATTTGTTGCAGTTCTTTCTCTTAGGAAAATTATGTCCCAAGCAACTAGATTGGCCAAACTTGTTGGCCGTTTGTAGCACAAGTAGGTTGAGATGGTTAAATGTCTATGGAGATTCTCCATCATCCAGGTCATGGTTGTCCCAAAGGTGCTTTTTCAGGAGGCAACTGGACTTCCTTTGTTTTTCTTTGAAGACATTTCACTTCTCATTTAAGAAGCTTCTTCAGCTCTGACTAGATGGTGGGGAATGGATGGTTGAGATGCTTCCAGTTCTTCTCGTTTGGATTCCTTTTTCAAAGAAACTAAGTTTGAGAAATCATTGTAAGATCTCCTTATCTGCCAGGGCTGCAGTCTCAAAGCCACCAGCCACTTCTTCTTTTTCCTCTTGGATCTGGAGGAATATGCAGCATTCAAGGCATGGGCCAGAGTCTTAATGACACTGAAAGCACGGTAGTCAATTCTATATTTGTCACTGTTTCTTTTCCCTTCACTCTCCAGTGGTTCTTTCTGGGTGCATCTTCTTCGGACTTTGACAGAAAGTATGTGCTTTGAAAAAGAACAGTGAAAAGACTGATTTTGAAATTGTGGTTCCACAAAAATAAATGGTTGAAAGGTATCATCATACCCTCTTTCCTGTATGTAAAAGTTCCAAATACTATGAACGTATTCGTAAAGTCTGTGACTTTTCACTGGCAAGCCTCCAAAAAGTGTGATGATCCAGATTTTTCCTTCAATGGGTTGTGGCAGACCTTCAAGTGCAAAATGGAAGTGGCGAATTCCGTCCATCATGGTACTAAAGTCTGTAAAGAAAACAAAGACATTGACTCGTCTCCACTTAGACATGCCATCCCTGAGGGGTGCTGTAGGTGCAGTCATTGAGAATCGTTGTGATATAACAACACAAATCCCATTCCTCACAAGCATAGGAGTAAACATCTTCATGAAATTCTCTCCCTTCTCTGTGTCTGAAGCAAAGAGGCCAATCAAGATCCATCTGAAATGGAGGAGTAGTTGGATAATTGCTGGGTACTGGATCCCATCTTTGGGAGCCATCCGGTAGAAATAGGGGAATTGTCTTTTATCACTCAGAACCTCTGAAACAAATGAACAAGTGATCTGAAAAAGCAATGAAGAATGCAGTGTTATATTTGGGGTGAGCTCAAATCCAAAATATTTGCTTTCAATAGATCAGTGGTTCTCAACCTGTGGGTCGGGACCCCATTTGGGGTCGAACGACCATTTCACGGGGGTCGCCAAACAACGCAGTACGCCATTCCCCCCCCTTTCCCTTAGCTGCGCTACTCCCTTTTATTCTATTGGCTTTTGAAAGCCAATAGAAGAGACTCTCTTGAATAGAGTCTAATTCGATTGGCTTTCAAAAGCCAATAGCAATTGTCCAGGCTGTCTCTGCCCTGCTGAGCCCGCCAAAAGTCCCGTTCTGCAAACGGTGCTGGACCAGTTGAGTAGTCCTCGACTTACGACCGGTTGAGTAGTCCTCGACTTACGACTGGTTGAGTAGTCCTCGACTTATGACCGGTGGGGGGGTCAAGGCATTAAAAAAGTTGAGAACCACTGCAATAGATCAAACTTTGTTCTAATGAATATAGTAGAATGGCTTATTGTTGATTAGCCATTGGCCATATCAAGATACAGAATATAAAGCAGAGAACATTAACAAGGACAAGGATATGCCTGCTTCAGTCCTTGTCCCTTCACTACTACGGATCCCTCTACCTAGCGATGACACCTACAATAGCCATGGTGAAAAGCAGTTCTTGAATTCCATAGAGAAGATACAGTTGGATCTATTGCTTACAGACCATCATTCCACTCATTTTACCCACAGAGAAACACACACACAAACCTGTGGGACTTTGTAGATGCCTACTAAAGTTGACATCTGGATGGAGATGTCTCTTTTGGCTCCATCAAGAAGAGCCAAAAGATTGTCCTTCCTTTCACAGCTATAGTTGGGAACATTGGCTTCTCCAGTAGAGAGTGTGTCCAGCAAGGCATCTGAAGTAGCAAGTGTGCTCAAATAGTTGTCATGGATGCTGTAACCAAGTGTGAGATTGTGCAGGAGCTGAGAATTCTTGTTGACTACTTGAATGACGAAAATGTAGGGTTGCATTCCTGCCAGATTAGAATTTCTAGTACTGTACAAATATGTTTATGTTATTATTACGAACAACAGAAACAACAAAATAACCCAATATTGATAAAAAACCAGAGGCAAATCATAGTTCACATATCACAATTTAATTTCCAAAAGTGTTGAGAAGATGGGATGGACATAGCCTTCAACCAGGGTTAATAGTCACAAATATATCATTATTTGTACTAATGCTGATTTTCCTATCTCCAATGACCATGAATCATTCAATCAAGTAAAGCTACTGTACTTTTAAATTAAAGCAAGAACATGGATGAATAAGCAAGTCAGCTAAGCAACTCTAAAAATAAGGCATTCTTATTTCTATAAAGACAGGCAATTAATACAACTATAACTTTTTCAGAATAGTAACAGAATTAGGAGATTCTCTGAATTCTGTGTTTGTCTTTCTCAGGTTCTTTGATTTCCTTCTGCTCCATCCTTGCATTTGAGTCTTATACAAGATAAGGCAAAAGAGGAGAGTTATAGATCAAAATAATTCACCAACGTGCATATCCTACAATTTAGAAATAAGTGAAAGAAAAAGAAAGGAAGAAGAGTATTAGAAATGCAAATGGAGGGAATGCAACTCCATCACACTGAATGACTTACGGAGAAGAAATATAACGAGCCCCATTAAATTGCAACAGCTCAAGAGAAGGATTTGTTGCAGTTTCAAACACAGTGATGATATGGTCTCCTGGCCCGTAATAATTCCATGGTTTTCCTCTGTCCTGCTGCTTCAGAATCGGGGGGCATTTGCTTCTGGGCCTTCCAGAATTTCTTTGGACCAGCCCAAGCATCAGAAGCAGAAAAAGGAGATCCATTCTTCCTTGTGTTGAATCAGCTATTTCTCTCTTTCCGAACAACAAGAAGACTTAGAAGAATTTGAAGCATGCTCACAAGATGGAAAAGCAAATGAGTTTCCTCTTTCATGTCACTTTAATCTGAAGAAGAAGAAGAAGTCTCAAAGACTGGGATGGTGATAATTACAGTGAGAAGCAATATCTCCTCTGGGACCCTCAAGTTCTTCTGAGGCTCCACATTCAGAAGGAGAGTTGGAGAATAGTGTGGTAGTGAAAAATCACCAATATGCTCCTGGAGATACTGTTTTGAAGTGGTTCTGGCCCTTCCTACTGGGACACGTTAGGAAATGAACATTGGAGGAAGAGAGTTCAACTCACCAGGTAAAAGACTTTGTTGATTATGATCATCAGGATTCTTGCACTGAAATGGCTGAATTAAAGAGAATAAATACATTATTATAACATTTACCCGTCCATAGCTCCAATATCTGAGAGCTTATGTACCAAAGACAAATTCCTTGTGTGTCCAACCACACTTAGCCAATAAAGAATTGAATTCTATTCTATTCTATTCTATTCTATTCTATTCTATTCTATTCTATTCTATTCTATTCTATTCTATTCTACTCTACTCTACTCTACTCTACTCTACTCTACTCTACTCTACTCTACTCTACTCTACTCTATTCTACTCTATTCTATTTCTGTTCTATTCCAACCTGTTCTATTGTGCCCACAGGAAAGAATGACAATAAAGGTTATCTAATCTAATCTACTTTGTGAGCAATAACACTATAGCAACTTCTACTTTCGTGCAAACAGCTGTATTTCCTGCTTGTGTAACCAAGTAAAGAATAAAGGCATGCTAAAGAAAGCGTTTGGGATTTTTCCAGCTTTATGGACGAACCCACCTTTGTCCAGATCTGAATAAATGTGCGCCTCAGAGAGAATTGGACTCTTTGTTCATGGCAGGCCAGATCTAGGACTCCTGCTAAACAATTTTTCATGTCCTTCTAGATGGTATCTTCTTTGCTTTTTAACATTAACTGAGACTGCTGGGCAAGGTCACCCCCCCATCCTTGGTGTTTGATACTACTATATGCTGATGATACCCAGTTTTATTGCTGCAGGTCACTAAAGAGGAAAATGGGCTCCAGGACTGTATTTCTGCACAGAAGTAAAGATGGACACTTGGGATCCAAGTCTAGATCAAGCATATCTAGTCATATTAGAATAGAATAGGAGCTGGGAGACCTTGGAGGTCTTCTAGTCCAGCCCCCTACTCAAGCAGAAGAACCTATATCTTTTCAGATAAGTAACTGTCTAGCCTCTTCTTAAAAACCTCCAGTGATGAAGATTTCTGAAAGGAAGCTGTTCCACTGGTTAATTGTCCTCACTGATTGGAGGTTTCTCCTTAATTCCAGGTTGCTTCTCTCTTTGATTAGTTTCCAACCATTGTTTCTTGTCCTGCCCTCTGGTGCTTATTCAATAACATAAAATCACAGATACCCATTAGAATTTCCTTACATTTTCATCAGTTGTTCCTGAATGGTTGAAGATTATGTGCAGCTTAGACTAACATCCCATAATAATCACAGAGGTGCATTTGACTTGAGGTGCCTCAAAGCAAGATGGGTGGCAAACAAATATAATAAGTAAATAAGTAAACAAACAAATAAACAAACACCTCTGGATATGCTAATGATGAATTTTTTACCTCCAGATATTCTTGACTGCAAATGTCACATTACCTTCCTTTTTTTCAGTAACGGGCCTACTTGCAAATTGCTCCAGCATAGTTGCAAAGCTGCATCCTGTCAACTAGATTAAAGCTAATAAAGGAGAATATTTGTAGCTCAGGGTTGACTCAAGGGGTCCTTGATGCTCTCTGAGCATGCTTGTTTTCTTGCAGACATTTCATTAGATAGAAGAATAGAATCAAGATCAGGTGAAATATTGTTACCACTTCATAAAGTCAGACAACACTTAGAATACTGGCTCCAGTTTTGGTTGCTAAGATATAAAAAAAGATGTTGAGACTCTAGAAAAAGTGCAGAGAACAGCAACCAAGATGATTAGGAGGCTGGTGACTAAAACATTGCAGGAGGATTACAGGATTTGGGTTTGTCTAGTCTCGTAAAAAGAAGGACTAGGGGTGACATGATAGCAGTGTTCCAATATTTGAGTGGCTGCCACAAAGAAAAGGGGGTCAACTTCTTTTCCAATGCACCTGAAGGCAAGACAATAAACAATGGATGGAAATTAATCAAGGAGAGAAGCAACCTAAAACTAAGGAGAAATTTCTTGACAGTTAGAACAATTAACCAGTGGAAGGGCTTGCTTTCAGAAGTTGTGGGTACTTCATCACTGGAGGCTTTTAGTATTCTAATTATTGTTGCTTGACTCCCATTGTGGCTGGGAGCTACTGTCCTGCCCTTGGAGCTGGGTGGGGAATGTAGATTTTAGGAGTCTTTGTTTTTCTAATTCCATCAGCTCCATCCTTCTGAAGGCGTTTTGTTTATGAATAGGGTGGCCCAGTCTTTCTGAATGGATTACAAAGACCACCTCTCCAGGTTTCTGCTTGAGGCAGGTTGACTGGGCTGTTTTCTGCCTCTCTCCTCTTCTCCTTTAGGGGAACTATAATATTCTGCCTCTTTTAATATTCCCCAAAATATTTCATTCTCCTGGAGGGGTGGTGGTGCTGACTTCCTACACCTCGAACAGTATTCTGAAGCTACAAATTGTGCAGAATGTGGCAGCATGAGTAGTTCTTGGTTCCCATAGGCTGGCTCTTCTTGCACTGCAGTTCTGTGAGTTACATTGACTGCTGGTTTGCTTCTGGTTGAAATTCAAAGTGTTGATTATAACTTTTAAAGCCCTGTATGCTATGGGCCCTGGTTACTTGAGGAACCATCTCAACCCAATGGGATTGTCCTGTCTACCAATGCTGTCGGAGTGGGTAAGCTACAGATCCTTTCAGTCAAGGATTCTCAGCTGATGGGGTCGAGGAGAAGAGACTTTTCTGCCATGGTTCCTGCCCTTTAAAACATCTAACCCTCCCCAAAGTGAGATCCATACCCACACTTTGGACCTTCCATAATGGCCTGAAGATCTTGCTCTGCCAGTTGGCCTGGGACCCCAATGGGGGTCTGGAGATGATCATTGGATTAGAAAAGACTCCATTCTGCAGGTGACCATTGGATTAGAAAAGACTCCAGTTCTTCTCGTGCATGCGTTCCCCTCTTCCCCATCTTTTAACAGTATTTATCTTTTATTGTTGTTAATTATTGTTTTGTTATTTTAATGTGTACTAGTTTTAATATCTGTAAGCTGCCCAGAGTCATCTGTGGATAAGATGGGTGGAACATAAATTTAATAAATAAAGAAATAGTTGAGTCCAGATGGGCAACAGCAGGACAAATCAATAAATGTCAAGCACAATAGAATTTTATTAATTTTATTTTTCTTGTTCAACCTTTTAACATAACTGGTAAAAATAAAGTTGTCAATGTAGGATTCAAACTGATTCCAATCATGCATGCAAGTGTTTATGTCTTGCTGTGTCCTGAATCTCTAAAAAAAATATTCTAGAGTTCTAAATAAAGACAATGAAAAGATGAAGCAAAAGTAAGCAGAATCCCTGAGAATCAGAAACCAAAATAAAAAGTATTTGTAATATAGAATAATATATTTTGAGGTCTCTTTTTGTAGAAAAGCATTTTTGAAAGGGCCAGACTGTGCTCTGGTTCTGTCACTATCCCCGAAATCTGGGATAATAGGAAAAAATGCAGCTTGAATTTTGTTTTAATATAAAATACCAAATGTATTTGATCACAAGGAATTCTAAATTTTCATTTTAAAATATTAAAAAAACCCCTCATAAGACTATATTCTTATTTTATTTTAATATAAGTTGCTCCTTTCTGTTGAGATCTGGCCTCAGGATAATAATGTAGCACTTGGGGATGAAGATGCAGCCTAGTAGTCCAGCACTGGAGGCCAAGATGGAAAAGACCTGCACAGCCACCATGAATTTCCCCTTGGTGCTCAGATAGGTGGGCACAAAAGAGATCCAGACACTGCAGAAGACCAGCATGCTGAAAGTGATCAGCTTGGCTTCATTGAAAGCCCCAGGCAGGTTTCTGGCCAGAAAAGCCACTGTGAAGCAGATGGCAGCCAGAAAGCCCAGGTAGCCCAGGGTTCCATAAAACATGGCAATAGAACTTTCGTTGCATTGCAGGACAATCTCTCCAGACTGGGAATGCATGTCTGAATCTGGAAAAGGGGGAGAGATTCCCAACCAAATGGCAGAAATGGCAATCTGGACACTAGAACCAAAAATAACAATGGAATTGGTCAAAGCTTTTCCCAGCCATCTCCTCATCGAGTGGCCTGGCTTTGTGGCTAGGAAGGCCAACACCACTGTGATCGTTTTGGCCAAGACAGAAGAGACAGCAAGTGAAAAAACAATGCTGAATGTTGTTTGACGGAGAAGGCAGGTGGCTTTCCTTGGTTGACCAATGAAGAGAAAGGAAGTCAGAAAGGAAAGCAGGAGGGAGACCAGGAGGATGTAGGAGAGGTTCCGGTTATTGGCTTTGACAATAGGAGTTTTTTGATATTTAATAAAGATTCCTAACACCAGGACAGTTGTGATAGAAAAATATAGGATAAAAGAGGCTAGGATGATCCCCAAAGGTTCTTGGTAGGACATAAAAGTTATCGTCTTGGGGATACATTGATCTTTGGCCATGTTTGGATGTTGATCTTCTGGACATTTTAGGCATTTTTCTGCATCTGAGGAGAGAAAGAATAATGTCTCTGGTACAGCTTTTTATTTTCCATGTGGTCAAATGCCTGTTTGGGTGAGAGTTCCTCCACACTTGTTTGAGGGGGAGATTTTATAAAATGATGAAGCATGGGAAGAATTTAGGGAAATGGGTACCAACCTCGGCCTACATCACAGGCAGTTTGCAAAAGGATGAGGGAATCTCCACCCTAACAAAGGCAGCTTGGGATCACCTATTTGTGTAACTTAAATTTCTTTTGTAGGAATTATAGGCCAAAATTAAAAGAGAAATGTTTACAAGGGTGAAGGTTCATTCTCCAAGCTTGTGGGTTGGTTTCTGAATGTTTTGTTACCAAGCTAGGTAACATCTTCAGTGGAGTTTAGGGGATGTCAGTGTTCTGCTTATAAGGGCTTCAGGTGTGGATGTGTCAAGTGAGGGTCTTGGGATGGGTCAGGTGTGAGTCATCAGTGATAGGCTTGTGATGGGTCTTGTAATGGGGAGGTTACATCAGGTCAGGGTCATTGGGAGGTGAAGTGCTGGTGGGAGGGGGATAGGTCAGGTGTGACTCATCAGTGAGAGGCTAGTGATGGGTCTTGTGATGGAGAGGTTACATCAGGTCAGGGTCACTGGGAGGTGAACTTCTGTGTGGGTTGGTTGAGGGTTGACGTGTCTCTAGTTGGTTGTGTGGTTGATTTGGATTCTGTTAGTAGTCTGGTTGTAGGTTGATGACTCATCACACAACTGTCACTTGACACACTCATACTTGAATCCCTTATAAACAGAAGAACACTGACACTGACATCTGCTAATCTCCGCTGAACATCTTACCTAGCCTGGTAATGAAATGTCCGTAAACCAACCCGCAAGCTTGGAGGATGAACCTTCCCTCTCATTCTATACCCAAGCTACAGATATTCGCCACTATTGCAAATAAACAAGATTGCTTGGAGGGAATACACCAAGATGATACACATAAGCATCACACAAGCTACTTGCTACCAGAGGATCCTCAGGCCAATTGAAGGAAACATGTTTCAAGAGATTTCTAGAAGACCTCAAAGGTTGGGGCTATTCTCACTTTGGGGTTGGCTTGTTGGCCCAGCCCATGCCAAGAGAAGTACCTGGGATCCAACACTTTATTTCTGCAAAGAAGTAAATTTGGGCCCTTGGGAACCAAGTCCAAAGCAAGTGTGTCTGCTGATATTTGTTTTTATACCATGAAATCACATATACACATAAATGGCTCAGAATGTAATGGCACACATCACTGTTGGGTTCTCCCGACATTCTACCATATTACACCCCTGTATAGGGCCAGGAAGCACAACAGGTGGGTCATGGAGACTTCCACTATGGAAACCAATATGCTAGGTTGCTTTCATGGGCTCCTGGGAGAATGCCACCAATGGCTCTAGCACTGATGTCCATAGGATCAGACTGATGAAAGTGAGGATGACAATGTTGTGAGACATGACACATAAAACCAAGCTTATGGATTCATGTCATAGCATGACTTTAGTCATTGTGGTAAAAACTGCATAAACACAAGGATGCTGCTAGCTTCCCCAAAAGTCCCAACTTTCACACAAACATATGCATGCACAATAAAACACATATCAATGCATCTCCTCCAAAGCCTCCCTTTTTCTCCTGTATCACCCACCTTCCCACGTGGAGATGGTCCCTTCTGCACAAGGAAGGCAGTCATAGCAGCAAAGAGGTTTCCCTTCCCGAGGCACCTTGACAAATCCTGGACGGCAGCTCTCCACACACTGGGAAGCAGGCAGAGGCTGAGCAGGAAAAAGGAGAAATCAGGACATGTGACAGAATCATTTACCCATCATTCTTCAGTTGTGGGCTGAATTTGGAACTTCAAACCAGAATCCTTAGCAGAATAACAAAATAACAGGTCCTTGGGGGTTTTCTAGTCCAACCACCTCCTCAAACAAATGGTTGTCCAATTTTCTTTTAAAAACCTCTACAACGTCTGGGAGCAAATCATTCCACTGATTAATTGTTCTAACCATCAGGAAATTTCTTTTTAGTTCTAGATTGCTTCTCTTCTTGATTAGTTTCCATCTGTTGCTTCTTGTCCTGCCTTCAGGTGCTTTGGAGAATAAGTTGACCACCTCCTTCTTTGTGGCAGCCTCTTAGATATTAGAACACTGCTAACATGTCCCCCCTAGTCCTTCTTTTCATTACTGACACACCTTTTATTACTCTTTAGTTAGTCCTCATTCCTTCTTCAAGGTTTCCCATGAAATTATGCCATTAATGGACTGAGTTCTGGATGGTCTGATAGTGCTTTGTATATGCCAGTTTGATTTAATACGAAAGAGACTTCTACAGTTGCACCTTATCATGGCAGATATATGTCGAATGACATTGCTTTTCTGCTGCCTCTGTCCCAATCCATAAGTAGGATAGAGTTAAGTTAGATAGTTAAACGAACCTTGTTTAGCGAGTTGAGGAAGGCAGTGCAATCTTGGTCAATGAAAAGCTTGAAGTCTAGAGATCCTTCTCTTTTCAGACTTCCAAATTTCCGTCTCCTTATGGACTTATTGGGGAATATCACGGAGTTCAGGATGTTGAGATCAGCCATCACCTTGCCATTCTCATTTAAATGCATTCCATCCATGGAAAAATTATAAAAATGGGAGCTTTGCAGAAAGGGGTGAAACTGAAACAGATGAAAGAAGAATAGTGAAATGAAGAGATGGAGAAGAAGGGAAGGGGACAAAAGAAGAGAGGGAAAAGAGAAGACATGTTGCCTGTGTTTTGTTTTGTTATTTTATATTATATTTTATTTTATTTTATCTTATCATCTTATCTTATCTTATTTTTTATTTTATTTTATCTTATCTTATCATCTTATTTTATCTTATTTTTTATTTTATTTTATTATTTTATTCTTGAGAGTCCTATGGTGCAAAACTCATTCAAACTCAGGTGGCTGTGCATTTGTTTAGACATCTGGAGACATTTTATTTTAATTTTGAATATCAATGATGAGACCTAGTTTTTTGGCAAGGAGAATTATTATGTTTGTGTATTAATGAAAATATGAAACAGAGCTAAGGTTCCTCTCAGGAAAAAAAATGAAACTGACAAAAGATTAAAATATTTTAGTATGAAGTGGGAAAACGCAAAAAGAAATAATCTTCAAATGGTACAGTTTCTCTCTTTTGGATAAATTGTATAGCTGTTCATTAAGAATTAGCATTGTCCATACTTTTCATTTTAATCATATTACTCTTAAAACATTGAAATAAATACTTAAATTATTATTATTTTATGTCTAAGGGAGGTTGACAGTTGCACTTGCTCAAACCTCAGCATGTTGCATTATTTCCATCTCACTGTCCAATCTATACAGTTATAGAAATGACAGTTTAACACAATAACAGAGTTGGAAGGGTCTTTGGAGGTCATCTAGTCCAACCCCCTGTTCAGGCAGGAGACCCTATACCATTCCAGACAAGTGGCTGTCCAGTCTCTTCTTCAAAAACCTCCCGTGATGAAGCATCCACAATTTCTGGAGGCAAGTTGTTCCATTGGTTCATTGTCCTCACTGTTAGGAAGTTTCTCCTTAATTCCAGGTTGCTTCTCTCCTTGATTAGTTTCCATCCATTGTTTCTTGTCCTGCCTCCTGGTACTTTGGAAAATAGGTTGATCTCCTCAATGGATGGAAACTGATCAAGGAGTGAAGCAACCTGGAATTAAGGAGAAACTTCCTAACAGCGAGGACAACGAACCAGTGGAGCAGCTTGGTTTCAGACATTGTGGATGCTTTATCACTGGAGGTTTTTAAGAAGAGACTAGACAATCACTTGTCTGAAATAGTATAGGGTCTCCTGCTTAATCAGGGGATTGGTCTAGAAGTCCTCAAAGGTCCCTTACATCTCTATTCTGATTCTAAAATTCTTTTTTTTTGTGGCAGCCCATCAAATATTGAAAAATTGCTCTAATGTCACCTCTAGATTATAGAAACCCAATTCCCACAATCTTCCTGCAATATTTTAGCCTCCAGCCCCTTAATCAACTCTGCACTCGTTCCAGAGTCCTGACATTTTTGTTTTATAATATGGTAAGGAAAATTGGATGCAGTATTATAAGTGTGGTCTTACTAAGGCTTTTAAAAGTGGTACTACTACTTCATGGGAAGACTTTATAAAGAGGTACAAATACATCAAATAGAGGACAGGGATGGATAATAGAAAAGGTAATACCTGCCATGGTTTTAACCTATGGACTTCTGGCTTGTCTCCATCTTTCCTCCTCATCTTCTTACTTCTGGAAGAATATGCAGCATTTAATGCCTGTGCCACAGCCCAGACAGCGTGATAAATATGGTAGTTGTCTAGAGAGAAGCTTCTTTCCTTCTCCTCCTGCGACAGTTGGATCTTCATCTTTTCTTTCTCAATGCACCTGGTCCAACCTTTCTTGGTCAAGGGATGCTTTGAATAGGAACAATGAAACTTTTCCTCTACATATCTGCTAATAGATTGATAAAATAAGTGGAAATCCTCCTGGTTTGTCCATTTTTGGGAGTGGGTGAAGAAGGAAAAATAAACAGAAGTGTAGAGTATATTTCGTGGACTATATCTCAAATCCAGCATAAAATCCCAGGAAGGTGTAGTGATCCAGACTTTGCCAGGAGTGGGTGCTTTCACAGCCTGAACCACTCTCTGCATAATGAAGATTCCATGTATGAAGGAACCTGGTTCCCCAAAGTAGACAAAGACATTGACTTGTGTCCATTGGTAGAATGGTTCTAATACAAGGTTTAAATTGCTGGCAACCACAGAGATGGTTTGTGACAAAACCACACAAATTCCATTCCTTATAAGGAGTGGGCTAAAGATTCTCATGAACATTTCTCCATCGTCCGTGTCTGGAGCAAAAAGTCCAATTAAAGTCCATCTGAAATGGTGGAGGAGCTGCACAATCCCCAAGTACTGAGCTTCTACTGAAGGGACAGTCCGGTAGAAAAAGGGGAACTGAGTTTTATCACTTAGCACATGCGAAGCAAAAGTAAAACTGATCTGAAAAGGAAAGAGAGAGATGAAGATCTTCTGTTTGATCAGATTAAGGACAAAACATGAATTGGGGGTTAAAATGTTTGACTTCTGGGAGAAAGGGTAGCCCACTTTTTGCAAAAAAGAAACTTTTATAGGGAAAGAAAAACAAGAAAGTCCAGTTGCCTCCTGAAAAAGCACCTTTGGGACAACTATGACCTAGAACAGTGGTTCTCAACCTGTGGGTTGGGACCCCATTTGGGGTCGAACGACCATTTCACGAGGGTTGCCAAACAACGCAGTCCACCATTTTTTCCCCCTTTTCCTTAGCTGTGCTACTCCTTTTTATTCTATTGGCTTTTGAAAGCCAATAGAATAGACTCTCTTGAATAGAGTCTAATTCTATTGGCTTTCAAAAGCCAATAGGAATTGTCCAGGCTGTCTCTGCCCTGCTGAGCCCGCCAAAAGTCCCATTCTGCAAACGGTGCTGCACCAGTTGAGTAGTCCTCGACTTATGACCGGTTGAGTAGTCCTCGACTTACGACCGGTTGGGGGTTGCGGCATTAAAAAGGTTGAGAACCACTGACCAAGATGACTGAGAATCTCCGTAGACATTTTATAGGAAAACTGCTTCCCTAGTCACTTTGCAAACCCATAAGCCCTAAAGCAGGAATTTCACTTTAGAGGTCATTTCTCCACTGATGTTTGAGACTTCTGGAATTATCCAACCGGCATTTGCCAAAGGTGGACATGATTTGCACCACCTCAACGATGGCTGGATGATGCTTCAGGATCCCTGAATGCTTTGAAGATGTTATCATTAAGGGGGAAATGACCACAATTAGCTGGTACAGGTTACCAATCAGCACTGGGATGTTAGATTGTGGAGATTTAACTCTTATTTCAAATCTAGATACAACCCAATACACAAAAGCACCTGAGGGATTTTGTAGGTACCCAACATGGGTGAAATCAGGATGGAGATGTCCGTGGAGGCCCCTTCAAGAAGAGTCAGGATGTTTTTCTGCCTTCCACAGCTGTAGTTGGGAATGTTGGCATTTCCCGCTGAAAGCAGGTCCAGGAGAGCATCTGAAGTCATTTTCACATCAAAATAGCTGTCCTGGATTATGTAGCCCAAAGTCATGTTGATTAAGAATTTTGGATCCTGGTTGATCTCTTGGACAGCAAAGAGGAAGGACAGGAGTTTCCAATAAGTTGGAGATCCTTTCCTGTCAATATGTATGCAACCCATGAACATCAATCACAACATTGTTCTTTTCTTTAGCACCATAAACCTTTTCTATGTATCAATAACTACTAATTGAACCTCAATATCCAAGCACAATTCCCAGCTATAAGGGAATCTCTCAACTGTCATTGAGAGTTGGGAGATTGTTCTTATTTTAGAGTGAGGACTTGTTTTGAATGTGATTCTTATTTCTAAACTGCCAATCTTTGATTTCTATATGTAGACAAACTCTGCAGCAAGTGGGAGATTGAACAAATTCCTAACCAACTTAGCTGACAACTTTGTCAAAGGTAGAGGAGGGAAAAGCCAAACTGGACCTAATTCTTACTAATAGAGAAGTGATAGAGAGAGCTGAAGTTGCTGGAACCTCAGGCGATAGTGACCACATCATATTGGAATTCAATATAATGCAAACACAAGCAATAAAATATAATCCAACCAGTGTCTTAAACTTAAAAAATCCTTGACTTTAATAAACTCAGAGAAAGCCTAAGCAAAATTTTATGGATAAAAATCATACAGGGGAAAACAACTCAAGAAGCATGGGAAACACTGAAAAATATGATCATAAAAGCCCAGCCCAATGCAATATCACTGAAAAATAAAAATAAGAAATCCAAGAATAAACCAGCATGGTTGCACAAAGGTCACTCTGATAAACTGAAAGACAAAAAGGACTAGTACAAAAAACGGAAAGAGGGACACCCAACTAAGGCAGAATATCAGCAGATAGCCCAAATTTGCAAAGATGAAGTCAGGAAAGCAAAGGCTCAGAATGAGCAAAGACTTGCAACAGAAGATAAAGATAATTTAAAAAAGTTTATTTTAACATAAATAACAAGAAAAAAGTGAAGGAAACAGTTGGTCTATTAAAGAGAAGATGGCAAGAAAGTAAGAGGCAGTAGAGAGAAAACAGAGCTGCTTAACTCATTCTTTGCATCAGTTTTCACAGAAAAAGAAACTATAACCCAAATTACCAAAATTATAACTGTAAAAAACAAACTAGAAATAAAAATTAAAATAAGGAAAAAAATGGTAAGAGAACACCTTGATGAATATAAATCACCAGGACCTGATGGATTACATCCCAGAGTCCTGAAGGAGCTGGCTGATATTATCGCAGAACCATTGTACCATATCTTTAAAAAATCCTGGAGTACTGGGGAATTACCTGAGGATTGAAAAAGAGCTGATGTGGTTCCCATCTTAAAAAAAAAGGGGAAAAAAAACCAGATCTAGGAAACTACAGACCAATCAGCCTAACATCAATACCTGGGAAGATACTGGAAAAGGTAATCAAAAAGCAGATAAGAAACAATGGATAGAAATTAATCAAGGAGAGAAGCAGCCTGGAATTAAGGAGAAACTTTAATGTGAAAAGCAACCAGTGGAACAGCTTGCCTTCAGCGGTTGTAAGGGCTTCATCACTGGAGGTTCTTAAGAAAAGACTGGACAGCTACCTATCTGAAATGGTATAGGGTCTCCTGCTTGAGAAGGGGTTTAGACCAGAAGACCTCTAAGGTCCCTTCCAGCTCTATTCTGATTGATTGATTTTTTTTCTCCTTCTCCTGATTCTTGTTCTGCACAGTCATCTGATTGCAGAAAGACTTCCCATCCCACTAACATGTCAGCCAGTATTATGGCTTATAGCCACATCAACTGTATTATGTGAAATACATTTCCAGATGTGTTTCCAAAGAGAGATGCAGCACTTATTAAACCATATAAAAGAGAGATATCATGGAATTTGGAAGAACCAGAATTTTATCAATACAGGAGCAATCAGATAAGGTGGAAGGCCACTGTAGGCTTACACGAAAACCATTGCAGAAGGAGTCCTGCGGAAATTATTTGGTTGAAAACGAGTCTTCGTTCCACAGATGATGCCGCTAATGAGAAGTTCTCCTAGCTTGCCATGACTCAGTGGCTGTTCCCCATCCTGCCCCAGAGTCAAAGGGCAATGGGTCTTCCACATCCTGGAAGCTGTACAAGGCAGGAAGAGCAGCAGTAATAACAGGAATAACAGAAACATCCTTCTATGCCAGCCCTCTTTCCTGTATTCATTACACTGTTAGCAGAACATCGTTTAAGACAAACCTACAGGAGCTTTTGTAGCATAGACAAAGCTCAATAAAAGGCTAACATCTAAGAGGATGAGACAATGGCTATCTACATACCATCCGCCCTGCCCAAAACCTCACCCACCCAAGGTGTTTATGCAGCCTGCGTGAAGGATTACCTCATGTTGCTCTTCAGATTGTTGGCAAGGAAAATCCTAAGGGACGTGGCATCAAGATGAAACGAGAGATAACTGTGATTGTGAAAATTATGTGGAAGAAATATCACTCTCGTAACTTCCTCAAGAGTGTAGTTTCCAAAGTGCTCCATTGAGAAAGAAAGTTTAAGAAAGCACTACCATGACCAATTCAAAAGGAAGGCTCAGCCCTCTGAGGAAATAATCAAAAACCTGAAGGAAAACTGTACTGGCTGCTGAATGGGAAAGACGAGACAAGATTGCAGGGAAGTTAGGAAAGGAAGGGGAAAGATAGGGAGAAGAAATGAAAAAGATCAGATCTCCTGCTTGAATAGGGGTTGGGACCAGAAGGAATCAGCTGGTCACTTATGTCATAAATTGCAAGTTTGCCCAGATGAATGAAAGTGGGGAAGGTGTATCTGAAGTCAAAGAGACTCCATCTTATTAGTCCACTATAAGCAATAGGAGAAATTCCTACTGTAGTTTCCAAGACTATATTGACCTCAACTAGCCTTCAATAGACCTTCCTGGGAATCTATATAGGCTTACCTCCTTGGTTTTGGGCAGCTATGTAGTGTTTATTGTGAGTCTTGGAAACTCCTTGCTCTGCTACTAGAGAGGAAACCTGGTTTTCTGTTTTGGATGTAGCCCATGGATCCTGGCTGAATAAATCCTAGTTGACAGCAAAACACATTGGTGATGTCACACAGGCAGCAGATCTAGAGACAAATTGGGAAGTTTCTTTTTTTTTTATTGAAAAATTTTACAAAAATTACACAATATACCCCAAACCCACCCCCCCAACCCCCTCTCCGACTTCCCAGAGCTGAATACAGGGTAACAAATATAATAATCATAGTCTAACTAACATTAACCAACTATGTAGATAAACAAATATAATGCACTTTAGCTCTCTTTTAACACAGGATAAACAATTTACAAATGAACTTTATCATATAATCAAATTAAAATCCCAATTTATAAACAATACAATATAATAAAGATTCCACTACACTAAACTATTGTTAATAATAATAATAATAGCAATAATAATATTCAATAATTTATTCATAAAATAAATGGAACTTTTTAGTCCCATATTTATTCTGAATATAATCTATCCATCTTCTCCAAACCGAAATGTATCTTTCTTGTGAATAATCCTTCAAATAAGCAGAAATCTTAGCCATTTCTGCTAAATTTGACACTTTAAGCATCCGGAGAAGTTTCTTCAACAAGACAATTCAAGCTATTTCATACTCAGTTATGTGGCAGGAAGACCAGCTGAATTTCCAAAAAATACTGTATATCTTCTGTATCTTGACAGTTGATGTCTACTCTTCTTCCATTCCTTTGCACAATTTCTCCCAATCTTCTTCATCAAGAGTGCATGTATTCCACCAATAACTGGGAAGTAGAAGGGGCAGTACTGCAACCTAAGACTGATAGAAATGCCCTACCTATTTCAGTATTTATAATCAAACAGTAGATAGTCTAATCAGATAGTCTAAACTATAGCAGTGTTCCAGTATCTCAGGGGCTGCCACAAAGAAGAGGGAGTCAAGCTATTTTCCAAAGCACCTGAAGGCAGGACAAGAAGCAATGGATGGAAACTAACCAAAGAGAGAAGCAACCTAGAACTAAGGAGAAACTTCCTGACAGTTAGAACAATTAGCCAGTGGAACAACCTGACTCCAGAAGCGGTGAATGCTCCAACACTGGAAGTTTTTAAGAAGAAACTGAACAGCCATTTGTCCGAAATGGTATAGGGTTACCTGCCTGAGCAGGGGGTTGGACTTGATGACCTCCAAGATCCCTTCCAACTGTATTATTATTATTATTATTATTATTATTATTATTATTATTATTATTATTATTATCATCATCATCATCATCATCATCATCATCATCATCATCATCATCATCATCTTAGGAAGCTGAACTGATGCCCTATATGAAATTAACGTTTAGCAGTGGTACCACAGTATTAGCAAGTATGAGAGGAAGGGCAATATGCTGGCTGAGAAATTGTACCCCAGAACTGGTCATTATGTGCAAATTATTATTTTTCTTCTGTTTAACCATGACCAATTCTTGGAGACTGCCTGGAAAACTCGCTGATGTTTTCTTGTCAAGTTTTTAAAAAGCGGTTTGCCATTGTCTCTTTCCTAGGGCTTAGAGAAAGTGACTGGCTCAAGGTCATGCAGCTGGGTTTGTACCTAAGGTAGTTTGATGGTATTACAGATATCGTCGCAGGATGGAAGCAGTTCCTACTAAGGCTACCTTTTGCAATTGACGAATAGCGAATTTGTTAATGCCAATGGTGTTCAAGTGGTGCTCCAGTTGTTTTGGGATTGCACCCAAGGCGCCTATGACTATTGGTACTACCCTTGCTTGCTTTTGCCACAGTCTTTCTATTTCTATTTGTAGGTCTTTGTATTTTGTTATCTTCTCCAGTTCTTTCTCTTCTATTCTGCTGTCTCCAGGCACTGCCACGTCCACTATCCAGACTTTTTTGTCTTTCTTATCGACAATTGTTAAGTCTGGGGTGTTATGTTGCAGGTGCTTGTCTGTTTGAATTCTGAAGTCCCAGAGCAGTTTAATTTTATCATTTTCTATGACTTTCTCTATTTTATGATCCCACCAGTTTTTGCTTACAGGCAAATGATATTTTTTGCAGATCTTCCAATGCACCATTGTTGCTACTTTGTCATACTGCTGCTTGTAGTCAGTCTGTGCAATTTTCTTGCAACAGCTTACCAAGTGGTCCACTGTTTCTTCAGCTTCTTTGCATAGGCGGCACTTACTGTCTGTTGCTGTCTTCTCAATTTTGACTTTGTATGCATTTGTCCTTAAGGCTTGGTCTTGTGCAGCCAGAATTAGTCCCTCGGTCTCTTTCTTCAATTTTCCTGCTCTTAGCCATTGCCAGGTCTTCTTCTTCTTCTTCTTTCTTCTTCTTCTTCTTCTTCTTCTTCTTCTTTCTTCTTCTTCTTCTTCTTCTTCTTCTTCTTCTTCTTCTTCTTCTTCTTCTTCTTCTTCTTCTTCTTCTTCTTCTTCTTCTTTCTTCTTCTTCTTTCTTTCTTCTTCTTCTTCTTCTTCTTCTTCTTCTTCTTCTCTTCTTCTTCTTCTTCTTCTTCCTTCTTCTTCTTCTTCATAATAATAATAGTAAAGTTGGAAGGGACCTTGGAGGTCATCTAGTCCAACCCCCTGCTCGGCAGGAAACCCTACACCATTTCGGACAAATGGCTGTCCAGTCTCTTCTTAAAAACTTCCAGTGTTGGAGCATTTACTGCTTCTGGAGGCAGGCTGTTCCACTGATTAATTGTTCTCACTGTCAGGAAGTTTCTCCTTAGTTCTAGGTTGCTTCTCTCCTTGATTAGTTTCCACCCGTTGCTTCTTGTCCTGCCTTCAGGTGCTTTGGAAAATAGCTTAATTCCCTCTTCTTTATGGCAGCCCCTGAGATATTGGAATACTGCTATCATGTCCCCCTTGTCCTTCTCTTCGTTAAACTAGACATACCCAAGTCTAGCAACCGTTCCTTATATGTTTCAGCCTTCAGTCCCCTAATCATCTTTGTTGCTCTTCTCTGTACTCTTCTAGAGTCTCAACATCTTTTTTACATCATGGTGACCAAAACTGGATGCAGTATTCCAAGTGTGGCCTTACCAAGGCATTGAAGAGTGGTATTAATACTTCACGTGATCGTGATTCTATCCCTCTGTTAATGCAGCCTAGCACTGTGTTGGCCTTTTTGGCAGCTGCAGCACACTGCTGGCTCATATTTAAGTGATTGTCTACTAGGACTCCGAGGTCCCTCTCACAGTTACTACTATTGAGCATGGTGCCACCTATGCTGTACTTGTGCATTTGGTTTTTCTGGCCTAAATGTAGAACCTTGCTTTTTTCACCATTGAATTTCATTTTGTTAGTTAGTGCCCAGTGTTCAAGTCTGTCCAGATCCTTCTGTATCTGAAGCCTGTGTTCTGGAGTGTTGGCTATTCCTGCCAGCTTGGTGTCGTCTGCAAATTCTTCTTCTTCTTCTTCTTCTTCTTCTTCTTCTTCTTCTTCTTCTTCTTCTTCTTCTTCTTCTTCTTCTTCTTCTTCTTCTTCTTCTTCTTCTTCTTCTTCTTCTTCTTCTTCTTCGTCTTCTTCTTCTTCTTCTTCTTCTTCTTCTTCTTCTTCTTCTTCTTCTTCTTCTTCTTCTTCTTCTTCTTCTTCTTCTTCTTCTTCTTCTTCTCTCAACAGTGAGAGAGAATGTAGGCCAGAGTCTTAATGATGCTGTAAGCACGGGGGTCAATTCCAAACTTATGACTGTTGCTTTTTTCTTGGGTTTCCATTGGAGCATTCTGGGTGCATCTTCTTCGGACTTTGACAGAAAGGTTGTACATTGAAAAAGAATAGTGAAAAGTGAAATACCTTTGAACATGGTATTCTTCAGGATCAGCTCAGAGAATTTGGAGTGGGCAGCATGGTGGGTGTGCTGGTTCACTTTCTTTATCTGGGGTCAATGCCAGTCAGTGATGATTGGGAAGGAGAATTCCTGTCCTTGACCCCCACCATGTCAGGTGCCTCAGGGCTCAGTGTTCTCTCTTCTCCTATTCAACATCTACAGAAAGACAATGAGTGAGCTCATCCATCATCATGGGGCGAAGTATCATCAGCATGTTGATAATACATAATTTTATTATTTTACCCCTGGTGAATTAGATGTCAACCCTGCTAACATCGGATATTCTTGCTATGACAACAGATGGAAATGCAGCCATTTTCTCTATTGCTTTTAGAATTAGTGGGAGGGGGAATAGGGATGAGAGTCCAGCTAGTCATGACAATAATAACTTAGCCGTGGGAATCCAAGGACATTGGGCCCAGAGCTGATAGTGTTTTGGTGGGCTGGAGAGCTGGGGAGAAAGTCTGTGCTTCAAGCTAACTGGGGAATGTGATTTACGACTGTTTATTGGAGGAAGGAATTGTACTTTGTTACTTTGTA